TAATTAAACATTTGTTTCATTTAGATAGTTATGTATTCTTTTAAGTTAAATTTATTCTTTGAGAATTTTATACATGTATACAATGCATTTTGATCATATCTACCTCTCACCCCCTCCCACGCCCCCCTAATTTCATTCCTCCCCCTTCATAACCCACTGAATGTCGTCAGTGCCTCCTGCATGTGCATGGGCAGTCCACTGGAGCACGAGCAATGTACCAGAGACCACACCCTGCAGAGAACTGGCTCTTCCTCCCCCAGCAGCCGTCAGCTGCCACTGGCTCCTGAGCTGGGGTGGGTCCTTCTGAGCCCCTCCTCCTCCCATGTTGGAATGTTGGCTGCTTTGGTCTGTGCCGGGAGCCACAGCTGTTGTATGTCCAGGGGAGCAACGGCCTTGCCACATCCACAAGACACCATTTCTGGGTGGTCCTCCCTATCCTCTGTCCCTCATCATCTGTTCACCTTCTTCTGTGATTCTCCCATAGTCTCAGGGTTAAGGTGTGCGTGATACAGGTGTTTCATTTAGGGATAAGCACTCTAGTTGTGATTGGGGGAATCCTTATCTTCCTTGAAGATGGACAGATACACTGTGCCCAAAGGATGGCCATTGTGACCCAAGGATGGCCATTGTGTGGCATGATGGTGGCTCAACTGTATGTGGTTATAGTAATTATGGAAAATCATCTCTGAGAACACGATGAAGGAGCTGGGGAGATAACAGCAGAACAAGCATGGGATTGGTGGCATTCATACTGCCTTTGTCCTGGATGCCCTCTACAGTGCGGGTCTGGGTTTTGTTGGAACGAGCAACATTGTGTTTGAAAAGTTGTAGAGCTCATTTGAGACTCTGAATGAACTCTCTTTCTAAAGACGACTTACTTATTTATTTTTATTTCACTTAGATGGTTGAACAAGAAAAATACTCCAAAGACTCAATCCATTTTGAAATTCAAAACAAACAAAGGAAAAAGAAACTCCATTGGCTCATTTGGGTCTTTGTGAAAGCTGTCACCTTTGGTCCTTGGGGATGGCTCTGCCAGGCTCTCACCTGAAAACTCGGGGATACTTAACTCTCGAGCTGTTAGGACTACAAATAGCCCCTCTGGGTCCTCAACACCTTTGTTGCCATTTTTTGTAATCCCTCCACTCTCAGGTGGCCACTTTCAGCAAATGTGTTGAGAGGAAAAAGCAGAGTTCAGTATTTGACTCCCAGCTCTCCGCAGCCCTTCTCTTTAAGAATTATATTCAAGTTTTTCATGTATTGTAGATGTTTGAAAACATCTGTTTGAATTTGGTGTGTGTGTGTCTGTGTGTGTGTGTGTGTATGGAGGTCAGAGGTCAACTTTCAGGATTCAGTTCTCATCTTTCATCTTGTTGAAATAGGGTCTCTCTTGTTGTTTTTTAGGCTTTATTCTCCAGGCCATCTGGCCCATGAGCTTCCAGGTGATTCTCCTGCCTCCCATCTCTCTGTAGGAGTGCTGTGATTACAGATGTGTGACACTGCATGTGGTTCTTTCTGTGGGTTCCAGGAACTGAACTCAGATCGACAAACTTGTGCGCTTAGCCTTTTTGCCAGCTGAGTCCAGGCCCTGAAAATGTCTTTTAGAATAGTGACGGTGTTCTGTTGCTTTTAAAGATGTTCTTGCCTGGCATGGTGGCACACACCTTTAACCCCAGCACCCAGGAGGCAGAGGCAAGTAGTTCTCTGAGTTCAAGGTCTGCCTAGTCTACAGAGTGAGTTCCAGGACCGCCAGGGCTACACAGAGAAACCCTGTCTCAACCTCCTGCCCCCAAAGAAGATGTTCTTGAGAGATTTAGACTTAATATTTTATATAAACCGTAGCTTGAAGCAGAACCTACTCAGCTTTTGAATTTAGTGCTTATATATTTTTTTATTTTATGCCCTGGCCATTCTGGAACTCACTCTGTAGACCAGGCTGGCCTTGAATATACAGAGATCTGCCTGCCTCTGCCTGCTTAGCGCTGGACTAAGGACATGCATCACCATACCCAGCTTGTATTTTTATTTTTATTTTTATTTATTTATTTATTTATTTATTTATTTATTTATATTTCTAGAATTTCTTCTTAGATCTTTTTCCAAATATTTGATCACTTTTATGGATGAAGACATAGCTTCTGGTTTCTTTTTTGTTCAATGTATGACCTTTAGATATACTTAACACAATGAAATGGGTTTTCGTAGTTGTGTGTGCCTGTGAAATCAGTATCTAAGCATTGTACAGAATATTGCCATAACCCCAGGAAGTTCTGTTGTTACCCTTGTGGTTAATTTACCCTTCCTCCCTTAGACATTCTGATTGTTATTGCCTTGACGCTGGATTTGTCTTTTGGCGCTTTGTCTACATAGTACCAAACTAATTCTGAGTATACTTTCACTGACCGAGCCCAACACCGTTTGTGTATCCGTCTCCTTTGGGGGTGCTGCTCTTTCTAGGATTTGGCCACTGTGCATATGGCGGCTGCTGGTCTCAGCCCAGGCTTTCTGCGGTCACTGCTTGTTCATTTTTATTTCGTTTTTATTCTGCGTCTATCGTTTTAGCATCTGCAGCGTTTGGGATCCAGGCTCCACTTCTTTGCTTGACTTCTCCTGGTGGTTTGTTTTCTTGTGTTTGGTCATTTTTGATTGGAGCAGGTTTTGCTCACTGTGGGGATCCCGAGGGGCCCGAGTGTTTTCCCATTTGTGTCTGCAGGGTGTCCAGTGTGATTCTCACTGAGAAGCACTTGAGGTTCATTTTCCCCTGGGGATTCCCTGAATAGAGAGAGTAGCTTTTCAGAACCCTCCTGTGAGAGGAAAGGTTTGTGCTGACACGTTTACAGGAAACTTGGATTTGTAAAACATTATTTTTAAGATTAGTTTATAATAGATTATAGTGGCATTCTCAAACAAAGTATGCTTCATTCGATTCTCCCCACATCTTCTCCATCCCCTCCTCTCGGATCTTTCCCTCCACCCAGTTTTCTTTGTCCTTTGTTGTCACGTGTATCTTTCTGCGTACTTGTACACCCCCCCACACACACACAACCACCCTCACCCCCAGCTTTCTCATTTTCTCCCCTCTCTTGGTTTCCTTTTAGGCATTACCCATGCAAACCACTTCTATCCACGCATATACAGATTGCAAACTAGGGTCTGATTATGAGAGAAAATATATGGAGTTCTTGTCTGTCTGGTTTGAGTCACCTCCCTTAATATAGTAGTTTCAAGCTCTACCCATTTCCCTACAAATATCATTATTTGATGGATCGTGAAAAATAATTAAAATGATTCCAAATTATGGCCCAAGGTAGGTAACTCTCCAGGTCAGCTCCTGCAGTAACCTTTGTCCTTAGGCATGGTTTGTCACAGATCCTGGACTTCCACCCTTCACTTAGCATCCTTCTAACTGGGGGCAGAAGGCCCCCCAGAGCAGCTCAAAGCTCTCTCATCCATCCCTCTTAGTTCTCTTAGAGCTCATGGAGTCTCTTGGCTTATTGACTTTAGGTATGCATTAAAGATTCAGGAAACTGAGAGTGAGGCATGCCAGTAATCCCAGCACTTGGGAGGCTGAGGCAGGAGTTCGAGGCCAGCCTGGGCTACATGGGTGTGTGTGTGTGTGTGTGTGTGTGTGTGTGTGTGTGTGTGTGTGTGTGTGTGTGTGTGTGTGTATGTGTGTGTGTGTGTGTGTCCCAAAACAAGGTTTCTTCTCTTTTTTGTAATGGTATATAGTTACAGCACGGTTCTCCCTCACTGCCTGGCAGTATCTGGCCAGGGGTGTAAATCTCTTACATACCCTGTCACAGACTCTCCTCTGTCTTCTGCATAGGACACATCTGTTTCACGCTTGCCTCCTCCTCTATCTGGGGAATGAACAGCAAGCCTGCATACTCAGAATATCATCTGGGTCTGCAATGCATGCTAGCGTTTGCTTCTCTTTGGCTATCTCTGATGAGAAGAGGCAGAGCTGTTTGTATGTGCTTTGCCAATTTCTAGTTTTTGTGTCAAGATTTCGCTGGCATGCTCCCCATTTCCCCTGCATTTGAGTGGATGATCGTGAGTTCTGGGTCCTCTTTCATTGCCGAGCTAATACATGTCTGGCTTCCATAGAACCACGAGCTACCCAAGGGCTGGACACGTGCTTGCCATGCCTGCCTCTTCCCCTGAATTGTCTCATCAGCCAGGTATTAGGATGTTGTCTGTTTCCTAGTTTGACTTAAGGTGAATTCTCTTCCCCATTTTCCATCCTTTGGGAAGGGACAGGTGTGTGGAAATGTGTGTGTACTTGCCTCTCACTCCAGGTGGTCTGGTGACAGAGAGCACACACTAAACTGCTCACAGCGGAAGCCTTATGCAGGTGTGGGGAGATGTGTCCCTGTCTGTTTCCAATCCTTTTCTGCAGAGATGTACTTGTGCTGCATGCCGGCCTCCCCATTCTGGTCCTGCCCTGAACCATGCTTGTTTGCCATCATGGATAGGTAAGTGCTTTTTCAGGCAGGGCTCTATTGTCTACACACATACTGTGCCTGATGTGAAGTAAGGACTCAAGACATGCCTGTTGACTGAATGGCTCTGGGATCTCTTAGAATCCAAGTCGGATTTCATGTCTAGGGCTCATGTGTGGACTCTGGATGATTAACTGCATCCCAAGGCATGCCTTGGGTAAGGTATTGGTGAAAATATTAAGGCCATTCCATGTAGTTAAAAGGAAGATTTATTTAGTGGGTAACTTACAAATGAAGGGATAGGTAGGTCGCAGGGTCTGGGGAAGGTGTATCATAGTCCCGTGGTGTTCTCTGGAGCTCTGCTAGGTCAATCTCCACTGTCCAGGGTCCAGGAACAGAGAGAGTGCTGGCCCATCCAGATCTCGGGTCTCCAGGGTCCTCCCTTGGCCCCCGCCTTGTAGGCGTGACAGTTGCTGAAGCCTCATGGGGGTTGGAACTTCCAGAGCAAAGCTGGAATAGCTACCCACTATATCTCCCCCTTTTTGTCTAAATAAGAAGGTTCTAGCCTAATACAAGACTATATGCGAAGGAATGGTTATCAAACATTGTTCAGGAATAATGAGGGATAATGACCTAGATAAGATGGAACTACAACCTGATGACATGCTATTACAGAGCGAGCATTTCACCTGTATCCACAAGATCTGGCTTTCTAGTTCATTCTTTCACCTCTCTGTATTTCTTCCCTACTCCCAAGTCTTCTATTCATAAAATGGAGCTATGACAGGTGGCTTTTCCTGCCTTGTAAGGGTGTGTGATGTAATACAGTGCTGCAGTATGGTCATGCCCTCTTTTACAGGTCTCATCATTTGAAAGGAAGGGTGGTTGGTACTGTTACGGGGGTTCACTCATGGTCACCTAATCCTGCTTTTAGCCTGTCTTGCCCTTCAAGACTGGGAAGCTGGAGAGCAAGCCTGGCTGGCCGATGTTGGGAACCTGCAGTGATATTTCTGGCCACCAGGTGTCAGCCTCAGCCTTGTAATGTAGAGTATGACCTCTACAGGTTATAAATCAGACAATTTCTACTAATTCCAGTCCTGGTTCCCAGCAGTGAGCCTGGTTTCTCTGGATTCCTAGTACCTGTTCAAACAGTTCCTGGCATCAACACTGGAGGCTATCACAACCATCCATCTTGGCCTTCGTTTCCAGGTACAAGGTCCTATGTAATTTTAATTTATTTTAAATTTTGCCCAACCTGTGCATGACCAGAAATGGCCAAAATGTTCATGCATTCAATTTCAGGACCCAAAGCCAGCAAATTTAGAATTGGTCATGGTAAGTCCTCTACCACTTGCTCCCCACATTTTTTTTTTTTTTTGCTACTAAAAAATTGTGTTTTAAAACCACTGCCTCAGGGTAACCTAGTTATTGTAATAGCAAGACTAAGGAGAAGAAACCTCAGACTTCACCAAAGTCCTCTAGATAGACAAAGGCACGGGGTGCTTAGGCTTAGTTCCATCTTTCTGGGCCTTTCTTGGGGGCATTTTCTCTGCAGATTACTCTCTTAAAATATTCTCCTCGGCTTTTGTTCACTATTTTTTCCCCTTTTTTTGATGCTGTGATATTTTGGTCCTTCATGGATTTTTGGTCTTTCATATCATTTCACCGTGTCTTACGGCATTTGCCATGGCTTCTGTTCTTCTACCTTATACAGAATACTCACCTAATTAGCAAGTAGTTGAGAAATCTATATCTCAGTCCGACGTCTGTGTATTGTCCTCTCTACTGGAGGAATTTGCTTTAAATACAGCTCAGGTATTTACACATAAACTCATTAAAGTGTATTCACTTTAGGTGCATAGCTCCATCACTTTTGCTCATTGTGTATTGTTTTATAACTACCACCTTAATTGAGATATTTGTTGCCTGTAATGGTTAATCTTGATCGTCATTTTGACTGGGCTTAGGTATACTTAGAACATGGGTGGAGTAAACTTGGTGTCTGGGAGGGTTTTCCAGAGAAGACTGGCCTCTGGTTTCAGCAAAGGGAGTCGGGAGGCCCTGCCCATGGCGAGGACAGCTGGGCGGGACCCAGTGGCAGCCCAGATGGGATGAAAACCATGAATGGGAAAGCTTGCACAGTCTTGGGTGTGTACAGCTTCTGCCGCCATGTTTGTCAATGGATGTCACACTGCGGCTTTTTAGACATTTGAAACACAGAATTGCACATGCCCCTCTCTAGGGTGCTTCCAGGCCCTCAGCCTCAGACTGGTGCCGAATCATTGGTCCCTCTGTTTTTGGGGGCTTCTAGGTTCCTGATCTGAGCAGCTGCTGCTGATGTCCTGGCTCTCCACCTTGCAGATGGCCACTGTGGCATTGTCCCGATTCAAGTCATGGAAGTAAGTTTAACAAACCTACTCTAGTAATTACATATATTGGTCTGAAATAGGCAGCAGAGAATAGAAATAGTCTGTTGGTTCTTTTCCTCTGGAGAACCCAGGCAAATACATCAGCCTTAGAGCAATTCTTTCTGGCTGTGTTTTCTCATTTTAACATTTTCTCTTGCTCCTTTGCCTGGCCCTCAGCCTCATGGATCTGATTCCTGACACTATGTTGTTTTGCCTTTTCTGTAATTTACTGAAAATGGAACCCCCTTATCATCTTATAATCTCTTGATCTCCTTCCCTTGGCCCAATTAGCACCTTCAACACCTTCCCAAAACCTTATTTTTAGTTCCAGGCTGCTCGAAGGCTAGTGATGCTGTCTCCATTTATTCTGACATCCCAGCTAGCAAGCTGGTGCTACCCTGTTGAGGCTCCCCTCCTGTTCTCTCTCTGCCCCCGCCCCCCCAGGAGTGGTAGTCAGAAGCTCGTCCAGTTTCCTTCTCTTCCATGTCTGCCCTCCTCCCCTCAGTCTCCAGGTCATGTTATAGAGACTCTCTTTACTTCTTTCAATCCTAGCTGGTGTCCAGGCAGAAGTCTTCAGCCTTCCTCTCGTAGCTACCAGTGTATCCTAAACTGCAAATCTGATCCTATTATTATTATTATTATTATTTTCAATTTATTTTACATACCAACCACAGTTTCTCCTCCTTCCACTCCTCCCATTCCCTCCCTTCCCCTTCTTCCTGCCCCTCCCACCCCTCTCCACTCCCCAGAAAATGTAAGGCTTCCCATGGGAGTCAACAAAGCATGGTACATCAAGTTGAAACAGGACCAAGCTCCTTCCCTGCATCAAAGCTAAGTGAGGCATCCCACCATAGGGAATAGGTTCCAAAAAGCCAGCTCATGCACCAGGGACAGATCCTGGTCCCACTGCTAGGAGCCCCACAAATAGACCAAGCTACACAACTGTCACCCACATGCAGAGGGCCTAGTTTGGTTCCTTGCGGGGCTCCCCATCTGTCAGTCTAGACTCTGTGAGCTTCCATGAGCTCAGGTCAGCTGTCTCTGTGGGTTCCTCCATCATGATCTTGACCCCCTTGCTCATATAATCCCTCCTCTTCTCTCTCTTCATCTGGACTCTCGGAGCTCAGCCCAGTGCTTGGTTGTGGGTCTCTGCATCTGTCTCCATCAGTTACTGGATGAAGGTTCTGTGATGACAGTTAGGGTAGTCACCGATCTGATTACAGGAGAAGGAGAGTTCAGGCACTCTCTCCACTGTTGCTATGAGTCTTAGCGGAGGTCATCCTTGCCGATTCCTGGGGGTTTCCCTGGCACCAGGTTTGTCCCCAACTCCATAATGGTTCCCTATATCAAGATATCTATTTTCTTGCTCTCCCTCTGTCCCTCCTCCAACTCAACCATCCCTATCTCTCATGTTCCCAACCCCTCCTACCTTCTACCCCCCACCCCCCAGTTTACCCTTCCCAGGGTGATCCATGTGTCCCTCTTAGGGTCTTCCTTGTTATCTGGTTTCTCTAGGGCTATGGATTGTAGCCTGGTTATCCTTTGCTTTACATCTACTATCCACTTATGAGTGAGTACATACCATATTTGTCTTTCTGGGTCTGGGTGACCTCATTCAGGATGATTTTTTTTCTGGCTCCATCCATTTGCCTACAAATTTCATGATGTCATTTTTTTTTTTAACCACTGAGTAGTACTCCATTGTGTAAATGTACCACATTTTCTTTATCCATTCTTCACTTGAGGGGCATCTAGGTTGTTTCCAGGTTCTGGCTATTACAATAATGCTGCTGTGAATGTAGGAACACAGTTGAGCAAGTATCCTTGTGGTATGATTGAGCCGTAAACTCCAGGCTGGTTTAGGTGTTCTCTGAAAAATGTCTCTTCCATTTCCAGTCATGTCAGTCTATTTTAAGACACCCACCTGTCTTTTTTACTTGACTTTTAAATTCCTTGAAGACTTTCCATTTTGTTTGGATTTATCTTCTTGTCCCTGGTAGAGGGCCAGGCACATAGGGAATTCGACATTGTTAATCTTGATTGTCAACTTGATTGGACTGAAACACCTAGGAGATTAGTGAAGATCATCTCTGGGTATTTCCAGGTACAGTTAGATTATAAGGGCTCTGACCTAATAATTGGTTTAATTCATCGAGTGGCTCACAGTTTGAATGGACTTTTAGGGGGGATGGTAGAGCTAGGAGTGTGGGGCCGGATTGGAGGAAGTAGGTTCCCAGGGGCATGCTGTTTGGGGCTTTATCCTGCCCTGACTCCTTCCTATACGCTCTTTGTTCTGTTTTCCAGCCACTACAAGGTGAAGGACCTCCTTTGTCACGTATCCCTGTTGCCATGATATTATGCCTTAGCACATGGAGCCGTGTGACAATGGATGGAACCACCCGAAATCATGATCCAGACAAACCCTTCCTTCCTTGGTGCTTTGTCATGGGCACACAAAATCTAATGCAAGCTGTCGATGAATGCTCCAAGGTGATGGAGGATAGGAGGAGGTCGCGATAAAGGTCAGGAAGACCTAATGCTCCAGTTGACCTCGGTCGTAGTGAAAGGAGAGGAAGAATTAGGGTGGAAGCCATGGGAGAGCCTAGGAAGAGACCGCGGTGCACACGGGGAGGCAAGTACCAATGTCTACGTTCAGCTTCCACTCCAACACTGACAGTATTTGGTTAGTGTGGGTGGAGAGAGGCGGCTGTGTATGCATGTGTATGTGTAAAGTATGGAAGTGTGTGTGTGTGTGTGTGTGTGTGTGTGTGTGTGTGTGTTCCTGTGTCTGTGGGGTGTGGATGTGTGTGTGTGCTCCTGTGTCTGTGGGGTGTGGATGTGTGTGTGCTCCTGTGTCTGTGGGGTGTG